TGAGCACCTTTAATATGACAAGTGATGTGCTAAGTACCAAAAAGAAGAGAAAGATTCACAAAAGACAAAGTAAAAATGGTACAAAACAGATTAACATTAGAATTAGAGAATCCTTGCAAATCTCATCTTTTATTTTCCTTGGTGTTCTTATCCAAAAGTATAACTTAATGAAAGTGGAAGCTTTAAATCAATATTCACGCAGAGGGTTTTTAGTAATTACTAGGACATTTATAATAATATCTCATTGTAGCATTTGCAAACGAAAGGAAAGGTTGACAGAAAAAGAGAGAAGTTGGGCAGGGTATTGAGAGAAAGGGAAGGGGAAGGGAGGTTGGTTGAAAGAGAAAGATGGAGGGCATTGAGAAAGCAAGAGGGATTGAGAGAGAGAAGGGGGATGAGAATTTGAAAGTATAAGTGATTCAGGAGAGGGAGAAAAGAAAGGGGGAGAGGGAGAAAGGAAAGGGGAAGAGGGAGGTTGTTGACTGAACTGAAAAAAAAAGTAGAGGGGTTGAGAAAGAAAAAAACGATTAACAGAGGTGAAAAAAGAGAGACAGATTGAGAAGTTGAAAGAGTGTAAGAAGCCCAGAGGAATGGGGTTAGAAAGGGGGAATGTAAAAGGGAACAGGCAGTGGGGAAGAGGAGGAAAAGAGGTTGAAGGAAAGGAAGAGAGATAGAAAGAGACTAAAAGAGAAAGAGTGAGGAAAGACAGGTTCTTTTTTCTAATACCATTACAGAGATATCTTGTGCTCATACTTGCCTTCCAACTTTTAAATGAAGATTCATTAGAAAAAGATTAACCAATTTCAGTGAAGCCTCAGTTACCTCCAGCCTTAAATACAAACAGAAATATTTGGAAGACAAACCATTTTGTCCGAGAGTTAAGGATTCCTAATTTAAGTATATCAGCTTTTTTACTTTAATTCTGAAGAGCAAAATTTTCATAATGTGGATGTACTGAACCTAACATCTTGATGTATTATTGTAATTACAATTATTAGACTGAATCACATAAAGTAGCTAATTTCCAAGATGTTTTTATCTACAGAAATGGCAGCTTCATAATTCAAACTTTTATAATCTACTCACAATATTGAGTTCTATAGGAAGGAAGCCCTGCATATTATGCTTTTTGAAGTTGTTTGAATATATATATGTAATTTTTCTATTTCCCTATGAATTGCTGTCTCATTTGATTATACATGTGCTTATCTAAAGCTGAATCATACACCATTTTGGAATGCTGCATTCTTGGAAACCAAATAAAAAATTTTGGTGGAATGTGTAAAATAAGAAAAAAAATGTTGCCTGAGGCTCCTACTCATTCTATATTGCAGATTTCTGTGATAGACTTTGACATCTATTCTTCTGGCTCAGTGACCTTCCCTAGTTCCTCCCTGATTCTTGGCTACAGCCTACAGAGGTAAGGGGATTGAGATAACCTGAGCTTCAGATAAATTAAATACCTTATAAACAGATTAAATATCCCAAAATTTTATCTAAAATTTTTAAGGTCAATTGATATGCCTGAGACATAATCTCTTAAATGTCCACTCCTCATCACAATTGTGAAACTGACAGGGACCATTTCTGTCTATTTGTGCTCAGAGAAGTTTCCAGCCTGTATCCCTGTGAGTAAAGTTAAGAATTATATGGGTTGAATAATATTGCCCTTCTTATCTTATTTTTTCTATTTGCCAAAGTAGAAAAAAAATAGTACCAGTGTATATAATACTATTCAAAATATATGACATACATGTGGTATGCAAGATATGAGTTGAACAATTCAAATTGTAAGTTCCCAGGAGGCATGAAACAACATTAACTTTTGTGACCAATGTTTAATATTGAATGTACAAACACACCAACACCAACCTCTGCAATGACAATGACGGGTGGAAGTAACACTGAATATTTTGGCACTGACAAGACACTCATTTTTCAGGTGTACTATTATCTTTTTTATTTTCTTTCTTTTCTTTTTCTTTCTTTTTTTTTTTTTTTTCTTTGAGATGGAGTCTCACTCTGTCACCCAGGCTGGAGTGCAGTGGCATGATCTCCACTTACTGCAGCCTCCACCTCCTGGGTTCAAGCAGTTCTCCTGCCTCAGCCTCCTGAGTAGCTGGGATTACAGGCACATGTCACCACACCCAGTTAATTTTTGCATTTTTAGTAGAGATGGGATTTCACCATGTTGGCCACACTGGTCTTGAACTCCTGACTTCATGATCCACCCACCTCAGCCTCCCAAAGCACTGGGATTACAGGTGTGAGCCAGCATGTCTTGCCTCTTCCCATTTCTAATCACAATTATACCATGCTGCTCTTTCAGTGATCACACTTCTCCTCCAATGACAGATGTGATCCAATCACTGCAGGCAGAAATTCTTGTGAAGATGGTGCAGTGGGATGTCAGTGACTGCTGCCTCAGCTCACAATGTTGACAGGCTTGTACTTTTCAGGTTGGGCACACTGCAGTGGTCTTCCAGAATCTCCCTGCAACAAACAAAAAGAGAAGTTCTCCCAAATACCTGATTCCTGGCTGACACAAACCCCAGCTGCCCATGATGGTCAGGCAGGGCACAGGTTCTTTTCTTATCTCTCTGATTTCTGCCCACAACCTAACAGAAAACTATGGCCACTCAGGTAATTGGTTAGTGTGACAGATCTCTTGAAAGGATTAAATCTATACCTTCAAGGAGAGACTGAAAGATAAGGTTTAGGTTAGTATAAATTCACTTAATGCTGACTATAGACTCTGCATGAAGAAACTTTCAAGCATCTATATAAATGCCCAGATGATGGTTTTCAGTTACATGAAACTTCTTTATGTTTTCAATGCTACCAGCAGTATGTGCACTAAGTCACCTAATTCAGCTATGCAACTGAATCATAAGATATGATCTGCTGGGTGAGATGGCTCATGCCTGTAATCCCAGCACTTTGGGAGGCCCAGGTGGGCAAATCACGAGGTCAGGAGCTCCAGACCAGTCTGGCCAACATAGTGAAACGCTGTCTCTACTAAAAATACAAAAAAGTAGCCGGGTATGGTGATGCGTGCCTGTAATCGCAGCTATTTGGGAGGCTGAGGCAGGAGAATCATGTTAACCTTTAAGTTGGAGGTTGCAGTTAGCCAAGATCGTGCCACTGCGCTCCAGCCCGGGCGAGAATGCAAGTGCGAGACTCCATCTCAGAAAAAGAAGAAAAAAAGAGAGAAAGGTGGGGGGGAGGAGAGGGAGAAAGAGAGAGAAAGAGAAAGAGAGAGAAAGAAAATAAATAATCATGTTTGTAGGTCAAAAAATATTGAATATCAGCAATTTCACATAGTTCATTCAAGTAATGAATAATTTCTTTTGAGAACTGAGTTCATTTCAACTATCAAATTAGTAATCACAGTTCATTTGTTTTTAAAGTAACATAGAAATGTATTTATTCTTCTTGCCTTTCTTTTTAAAACTAACATGCGTCTTTTCTTCTTTATGGATCAGTAAACGCCTGTTTGTGAGACATGCTGAAAAGAAAATTCCCAGATTCATCAATGCAATCCTTGAATTACCATGCAGGAAGATGATCCTGCAGCTCTTCTGAATATATTGGTGTTTGGAGTATACATACCATGGTGGCTTTGGCAAGAGGTACTAATGAGCAGAGATACCTTTGCCTGCTGTACCATTTTAGAAAATTCATCCTCTAGCACAAAAGAATAAAAACACATATAAACCTAGGCAGATGCTTTTAAAGGCTAACACAGAGATTGCCCTATATATAGATAGACTCTCAGGGTAAATCCCACTATTTTTCTCTCTGGGCACTAGAACAATGTTGTTAGGTGATTTATAAAGACCTAATATTATTCCACTTTAGCTTATGCAACAGAAACACCAAAACTATTTTGTAAGCATTCTTTTTTTTTTTTTTTTTTTTTTTTTCACGACGGTGTTGGGGTCTTTTTCTTGTTGCCCAGGCTGGAGTCGAATGGCGCGATCTCGGCTCACCGCAACCTCAGCCTCCTGGGTTCAGGCAATTCTCCTGCCCCAGCCTCCTGAGTCGCTGGGATTACAGGCACGCGCCACCATGCCCAGCTGATTTTTTGTATTTTTAGTAGAGACGGGGTTTCACCATGTTGACCAGGATGGTCTCGATCTCTTGACCTCGTGATCCACCCGCCTCGGCCTCCCACAGTGCTAGGATTACAGGCTTGAGCCACCGCGCCCGGCCTTGTAAGCATTCTTTTTATCTTCACTACAATTCTAGGAAGAGAGAAAAATAATATCACTTCATAGAAGGAAAAATAAAAAGTTTAGACCCAAATCAGTTGTTGATGAAGCGATCAATACAATTCCTTTTTAAATGTTAAGCCTATAATTGATTCCCTTGGTTTCACTGTGCTCTCGTTCTTTTGACTCTGCTGAATAAACATTATGTTTAGAGGCTGACAATGGAAACTACATTCTGATTCACTCTAGTCTATTGGATATTTGTAATTTGTTAACTCAGTTGTACAATACAGTAGAAGTGAAGCCAAACTCATGGGTTGATCTTTACATGGGCTAGTTATTTTTGCATAATCTTTTCTACCCATTTACCATTCATACCAATCCATCATTTCAGAAAAATGCCTCACGTGGTTAGAAATTGGCTCATACCTTCAAGTTTGTGTTTCACTGCTATAAAAACAATTGAGTATGGGTGTCTGAGTTTGCATATGTTTACAGTACAATTGGAGAGTAATTACACAGAAATGAGACTTACAAATGTTAGGTAATAAAATCACTAGATATTCTTGAATACAAGTTTTTATAAGTATCAATAAACTTGTATTCATGACTATAATAACCTAAAACCAAGGAAGTCACCTTTAGATCCATTATTTTAAAAGAATTTTCATACCATTATTCATATTAAAAATAGAGAAAAACTGAAAATGAATAAGCAGAGTACACTTAGATGTTACATATGTTTGTTTGGATTTTAATGTTGGAGGAGGTGGTGCATATACTCACTATGAGGTTCAGTTGTTCCCCATCCAGCAGTCATACATGTAAGGTAAATTTGTTTTATCATCTTTCTCTGGCACCAGATTGGTGACGAAAACTCTCCTAATTAAAAAGGATGTTAAAGAGAAAGGTAAATATCATTTAATCTACAGGATTGACATTAATATTGTCTATGTTGTTTGCTCTTCAGTGACAGCTCTGGAAATATTTACTTTGACCTAACAGTAACCCCCATTCTTTTTGAAGCAAAGTCTCACTCTGTCATCCGGGTAGAGTGCAGTGATGCAATCGTAGCTCACTGCCACTTCTAACTCCTGGGCTCATGTGATCCTGCCTCCTAAGCCCCCTAACTAGCTAGTATAATACTACTGGCATGCACCATCTAATGTGGCTATTTTTTTTTTGTAGATGGTATCTTGCTATTTTGCCTAAGCTGGTCTTAAACTCCTGGCCTCAAATGATCCTTTTGCTTCATCCTCCCAATGTGCTGAGATTACAGGTGTGAGCCATGCACTTGGCCAACATTACTCTTTTAAATGCTGCAATTAATTAAGTCTTCCAGAAAATGCTATCTGTTACTCAAAAGGGATCAGCCCAATTTATATGTTACCAGTTTGCTCCAAGTATTACCATATCCTCCCAGGACAATAGGAACATATGCGCTACACTCAGATGTGTGGCTCTTGGTTTCTCACTCATAATCATTTTTTAAAAATACATCTGCCCTTTGTCCATGTGCCTCTAGGACATCACCTTGTTGAATCTGAAGTGACTTCCTTCTTCAACTTCATCATGTGAGGAAAGGGGAAGAATCACATTTGTAGTACTTTAAATTTTTCAAGTACACACACACACACGTACATTTGTTTTCCATGCTGTTTTGATTCAGACTTTTACATACTTTAATACTTCAGCCTATCTACCATCCTGGCTCATTTATTTCAATAATTTGTTCTTTATTTTTACTGCTCTTAATGTTATGAACTCCTTGAAACTTGTCTGTTCTTTTACTACTTACCTTCCTATGCACATCCAAATCTTACGCTATGCTGCCTTACAGATAATCATTACTCTATCATTTCACTTTCTGTCAAATTTTCTTGAGCTACACCATTTTCCCTCTGCCAACATATTGTTTTTTAATGAGTTGGCTCCTTCCTTCCTTCGTTCCTTCCTTCCTTCCTCTTTCTTTCCTTCTTTCCTCCTTCCCTCCTTTCTTTTCTTTCTCTTTTCTTTCTTTCTCTCTCTCCTCTCTCTCTTCTTTTCTTTTTTCTTTTCTTTCTTTCAACACATTCTCACTCTCTCCCAGGCTGGAGTGCAGTGGCGCAATCTCGGCCCATTGCAACCTCCACCTCCCGGGCTCAAGAGATTTTCCTGCCTCAGCCTCCCAAGTAGCTGGAATTACAGGCACCCACCATTATGCCCAGCTAATTGTATTTTTAATAGAGACAGTGTTTCACCATGTTGCACAGGCTGGTCTCAAACTCCTGACCTCAGGGGATCTGATCCAACCACCTCGGCCTCTCAAAGTGCTGGGATTACTGGCGTGAGCCACCATGTCCAGCCTACCAACTGCTTTTCTTATTCTGATTTTTTTCATTTATTAGATTATGATCACATCAACTCATATCATTCAGTTGATGAATGTATCACAATTTATTAAATCCCACTAATGAACATTTAGACTATTATCTCTTTTTTTCTTATAAGCTGCATCAAGCATTCCAGATAATAAAGCTGAACAGTTGTGCCATTATTCCTGGAAAGTAGAATTGTTGGACTATGAGACATATACTTTAAAAAATAGCAACTATTGCTACATTGCCTGATTTTTGAAAAGACAAAAAAAGGATGTATCAAGTTACACTCCACCCAGCTATGTTTATAATTTAGAACTATGTCAAGAATCTTTAAAATATTCATACCCTAAATCCAGCAATTCTACTTCTAGGAAGTTTATTTTAAGGCAATCCTAGACCTGGGAAAAATATATATTCAAGGATAGTCAATCCAGCATCATTAAAAATTTTTTTGAAAGGAAACAATCCATTTTTTGGACAGGCTACCATGTATTCATTAAAATTATATTCTAAAAGTCTTTAATATTATGAAGCAATGCTGAAAATCATAAATGAAAATGTACAATAAAATAAAACTTACAATAGGTATATTATTACAACTACTTAAAGTCAAACAGAATAGTACAGGAAACACATGAAAGATGTATGCCCGAATATTCACATAAAGGTAATGATGCTGGAAATTATAGGTAGGAAATGTCTTGTCTTTAATGGGGAAAAAAAGTCATCTCTCACTCTTCCCAGTGAAAAGAAATGAATAGGTACAGATATAGATGTTACTCAATCCTTAGAGGGAAGAGAAAAAATTCTTCTGTTAGCATTGATACCAGGTGGTGTTAAGTAGGAAGCAAAGTCCTAGGAGAACAGGAAGAAGGATCAAGATAAGAAGGTAAGGAAAGAAGGGCTGAAAAGAAGGGGGAATGTCTGTAATGACGATTGTGGATATTGGGAGGCAGAACGATGCAGGTATACACCCAAGAATTGCAGAATGGTACTGAAATTGAAAACCACAAGATTTTAAGGGCATTAAATGTCACCACTGGTCTTTATCTTAAAAAGTGCTTCTCAACCTTAGCTACACATTATAATTTCCAGGAGAAATTTTTAAAACACCAATGCTAGGTTCAGGAAGGACCAGATATAAGGTCAACACAAAGAAGTCAATCACATTTCATGTAGAACCCAAACAAAATGCCATTTAAAATTACAGTGAAGACAATGTAATACTTAGGTATACACTTAGCAGAACATGTAATATAAGATATGTGTGCTGAAAATTGCAAGATTCTGGTGACAGAAATCAAAGAAGACCTAAATAAGCAGAGAGACATATTGTACTCATGGATTAGAAGACTCAACATAGTAAATATGTGAATTCTCCCCAAATTGAGCTATAGCTTTAATGCAATTCCCATTAAAATCACAGCAAGTGTTGTTGTAGACACAGCATACTTATTTTAAAATTTATATGAGAAAGCACAGGCCTTAGCATATCTAAAACAATCTTCACCAAGAATAAATTGGGAGAAATCACTTTTTCCATATAAAGCCTACAATGTAGCTACAATAATATGTAGTAGTATGTGAAAGGATAGACACATAGCTCAACAGAAAAAAGATTCCAGAAATAAACCCACACAAATATGCTCACTTCATTTATGGCAAAGACACAAAAGCAATTCAACAGATGGTGTTGGAGCAGTTAAAGATCCCTTAGACCACAAAAAAGAAAAGGAGAGAGAAAAAAAGAAACCTCAATCTAAACCTTGCACATTATACAAAAATTAACTTAAAAGGGATCATGAAGTTAAATATAAAGTGCAAGTCTAAGCCTACAGAACATTTAGGAAGAGCAAAGGTAAAACCTGGGGTTAGACGAAGAATGCTTAAACTTGACATCAAAAGGAGAAACTATTTTTTTAATGGAGCAATTGGAATTCATGTAAATTAAAATTTTTGCCTTGTGAAAAACCCTGTTAAGAGGATAAAGAGACAAGCTAAGACTGGGAGAAATATTTGCAAACCACATATTTGACAAAGGATTAGTGGCAGAATATATAAAGAATCCTCAAACTCCACACAGTAACAAAACAATTCAATTAGAAAATAGGCTAAAGAGATGAAGAGGCTTATCACTGAAGAGGTTAAAAAATGGTAAGTAAGGGCCGGGCACGGTGGCTCAAGCCTGTAATCACAGCACTTTGGGAGGCCGAGGCGGGTGGATCACGAGGTCAAGAGATCGAGACCATCCTGGTCAACATGGTGAAACCCTGTTTCTACTAAAAATACAAAAAATTAGCTGGGCATGGTGGTGCGTGCCTGTAATCCCAGCTACTCAGGAGGCTGAGGCAGGAGAATTGCCTGAACCCAGGAGGCGGAGGTTGCGGTGAGCCGAGATCGCGCCATTGCACTCCAGCCTGGGTAACATGAGTAAAACTCCATCTCAACAAAAAAAAAAAAAAAAAAAAAAATGGTAAGTAAGTAAATGAAATGTTCAATACTATTAGCCATTAGAGAAATACAACAAGATATCACTATCACTACACACCTATCAGAATGACTAACTTTTTTAAAAAAAAAGAATGACAATGCCAAATGCCAGTGAGGATGCAGAAAAACCAGGTCACTCATACATTGCTGGTGGGAATATAAAATGGTAAAACTACCATGGAAAAACAGCTTAGTTTATTACAAAACTAAATATGCAATTTCCATATAACCCAGAAATTGCACTCTTGGGCATTTATCCCACCAAAATGAAAACACAAATCCATATAACTTGTACACAAATTTCCACAGGAGCTCATTTGTAATAGCCCAAAGCTGGAAACAACCTAGATATGCTTTGACAGAAGTACCACTAGACAAACTGTGGTACATTTATACCATGTAATACTATTCATGTATTATAAGGAATGAATTATTAAAAGGAAATAACAATTGAACAAGCACAATACAACTTGGATGAATCTCCAGGGGACTGTGCTGAGTGGAAAAAGCCAATCCCAAAAGGTTACATAGTAGGCAGCTCGCTTTACATAATACTCTTGAAATGACAAAATTCTAGAAATAGAGAATAGATTGGTGGCTGCCAGAGGTCTGGGAAAGAGTAAACTGGGTCTTGCTATAAAAGGGCAACACTTTGGGAGACCGAGGTGGGTGGATCACCTGAGGTCAGGAGTTCAAGACCAACCTGAACAATATGGTGAAACCCATCTCTGCTAAAAGTACAAAAGCTTAGCCAGGCGTGGTAGTGTGTGCCTGTAGTCTCAGCTACTCAGGAGGCTGAGACAGGAGAATTGCTTGAACCCTGGAGGCAGAGGTAGCAGTGAGCCAAGATCGCACCATTACACTCCAGTCTGGGTGACAGAGAGACCCTGGCTCAAAAAAACAAAACAAAAGGCAACACTAGGCATCCTTGGGGTGACAGAAATTTTCTATATTTTGATTGTATTAGTATCCTACAAGATGTTACCAGTAGCAGAAACTAGGTAAAGAGTATATTGGATGTCTGTATGATCTCTTAAACTGTATGTGAATCTAAAATTATTTCAACATAAGTTTAATTAAAATCAAATGCATAAAGCAAGATAAGGAGGGGGGAAATGCTGATGCCAGCTCTCTATTCCTCAGATTGTGTCTTAAGTGGTCCAAAATGTAACCTGGCCTACAAGTGTGTATGAGTGAGTGTGTGTGTGTGTGTGTGTGTGTGTGTGTGTGTGTGTTAAGCAACCCAGAGATTATACTGTACAGCCAAGATTAAGAAGCACTGTTCTAAATGTTCTCTCTGACTTGGTTATAAAAAAGCAGAAAGCAAATGATGGACTGAGCCATGATTAGTGATAAGCAGGATGGAAGCATTGAAAAGACAGCCAGAAGGAGGTGAGTAGCACCTCTGACAGAGGTGTACTGGCAGAGGAACAGTTAAAGAATGTAGAAACTGGTTACAGACCCCTGTGAGTCCATGGAACTACATGGTCTTGGGAGTGGAGATGTCTTAGCTACAGTCCCTGCAGTCCCCTTTCTCACTAAATGTTCACCTGTGCTGAGTACGTGGGCAGGGTACTGTTATTCCTTTCTATTAATAATAAAACTGAGGCACAGGGAAGCTAAATAACCTACCCAAGATCTCATGACTACTACATGACAAAGCCAGATAAACCATTCCTCACCCAGTTTTCACATTAGCTTTAGTGTAAGTAACCATTACGCAAGAATAGAATTTTACTAGGTCATGAAAGTACAGAAAATGGAACATCTGATGCTTCAACTTCCTACGTATTTGTAGTAACTTTATAAGATAAAGAATCAAAATTTTAAATTAATTTCTTTGAAATCTTCTGTAGACCTCCATCAATTAAAAACTCATGAAGGTATGTGTTTAGACTTCAGCTTTTAGATAAAGTGTTATAAATATAAGAAAGTTTTGAAATAGCTATTTAACTTCAGAAATATGTGTAGCCCTTCTCAGCAAGATGAAAGATATTAAGTTGTATAGCAAAGGTTCAAAACATGGAAGAGTTATCCATACCAACCTAATTCAATATGTTTTTCCAGAAGCAACAGGATAGATCACCAAGAGTACAAAATTGTGAGAAGCCAGGATGAGTAGAAACAGGTTTTAATGGTATCAAATCACTGCTTCCCATGTTCCAGAAGTAACTTCTTCCTATTACCAGGTTGTCTATTGACAGGATTTGTCATAAGGGAGCAGGGAAATAGACATCTCTTTTAATGAGGTCATAGTCATTTTTCATAATTACAAAAAAATATATTCTTTTACATTTCTTTTTGTTCCTTTTAAAATTAGAGATATGGTACTGCACTATCACCAAGGCTGGAGTACACAGGTACGATTATAGCTCACTGCAACCTTGAACTCTAGACTCAAGTGATTCTGTCTTCAGCCTCCCAATTTGCTGGGACTACAGGTCCACACCACTATGTCCAGATAATTTTTTTAGTTTTTTGTAAAGATGGGGGTCTTGCTATGTTGCCCGGGCTGGTCTCAAACTCCCGGGCCCAAGCAATCCTCCTGTTTTCACCTCCCAAAGTGCTGGGATTAGAGGTGTGAGCCACATGCCTAGCCTACATTTCTAATCTATATTAAAAATTTTTATTATCTTGAATTATTGGAAAACAGGGATTTCCCTTAATAACTTTAATCCCCAAGAAAAATGTTAATCTATATATCTTCTTTCCTTCATAACACTAAACAAAATGTGATTATTAAGATTCATGGTGCCTCAAGATAATGATTCAGTGCATTATTACAATTATAATACTAGATGTTATATCCTTATATAATGGTCTCTGAGAGTTATATTTACTCCCTGTACAATGTTTTTCAAATAAATGTCTAGGGAACATGCATTAAGTCTGGCATTGCTTTAAAAATGTAGAATTTTATATAACTCATCAAATAAAAACTCAAAATTATGATTCTAAGATTTGATTACAAACTTCCCAAATAATTTTGAACACATAAAAGTCTGAAAATTGCCTTATAAGGATGACTTCTTGTGATTTACCTCTTCAAAAGTAAAGTTGGGGGATGAAAAAGAAAATGAGGCTTAAATTCACCGAAGGGTCCTGCTCACCAAGTTTTTGAGCAGATAGAAGGATCTGCTACTTTGAAGACATGGTTTGAAAACATTATATCTAATCATTTAGCTATGGGACATTATGCAATATTCTCAACCATCTCACTACTTCCAGGAGACCAGTATTAGAAATACCAGAATTTTAATACTGAGCAACTTTTAAACTGAGGAAGAAATTTTTAGATAATGTCTCAATATTTCATTGAAACAAGATTCAGATGAAATCAAATCAAAGAAAAAATTTCTTTTCAAAAGCATTCTTTTTTTTTTTTTTTTTTTTTTTTTTTTTTTTTTTTTTT